TATTTCTTATATGATAATTGATTACCTATTTTTATAAACATTTAATTTTTCCAGCTTTAAATTGAATTAATTATATCTATTTATTTAAACTAATAGGTACATTATATCTACGATGTATTAACAAATGATTAAATAATATTATGTAATATTTATTGAATAATTATACTTAAAAAAATTACTTCGACTTAGTATTTACTACTAATACTGTATTAATTATATATTATATTAGGAACTATTATAATTATGCATGCATATTATATATATTTATAACTTATTATTTGATAAAAAAAAATAGATAACATTCTTTAATAAAATAGATTTTTATGAATTAATTTAGCATGTGGCTTATTACATCATTAGGTGTGCACTTTTACCCCAATGATGGGGTAAAAAGACGCATTTGTTATAATTTCTAATAATTCAGAATTTTTGGTATTTGCTTAGGGAAAATCAACTTTTGACAGGAAAATTGAAATCTACGTAATATTTATGATAGGAAAACAATAATATAACAATATTTCTAAAACGTGTATGCTACTAAATACCAGCTGTCAAATGTTAGGTCGCCATTATACCCCATCAGGTTACTCTGATTTGTACAAACAAAAAATTAAAAATAAAGAAAAGTAGGTACTTATTGAATAAAAAAAAAGAAACTTAGTGATAAAATAAATTCCCCTAAAAAACTGTTCTCGACAATTTCTAAAAAATTGGTGATATCACAACAAAAATACTTTGTTGAACTCAATGTAAAAAACGGATAAGTAAAAAAAATACATATCTTTAAGCACTATAAAGTTGTGATATCATAAATAAATGCTAAGTAAATTGAATTAAAGTACACTTATTTTATTTCAATAATTTATTTACTTGTCGAGAAATTATATAGGCACTTTATATGACACATTGACACGGCACACGAAATAATGTGGAAAAAAAAACAAAAGATATTAGAAGTTCATTAATCATTATAATTTAAAATATTATAATGGACATTTCTACTCAAAATAATTTTTTGCCAAATAAATACATTTTTGAAACAAAATAAGTGTACTTTAAAGTTTAATTAAATTTACTTAGCATTTATTTATGATATCACATATTTATAGTGCTTATAGAGATCTGTTTTTTTTTTTACTTAGCTGTTTTTTACAAGGCATTCGATAAACTGTTTTTGATGTGAAAATAATCTAACTACGTTTTCGTATTCTCGAGTTGTGTGTTGCAGTTATATTGGAGTGTATTGTGAATGAATGAATACAACGGCACCTGCACCTATTAATTGAATCAAGTCACTGCAATCATCCTACAAATGACAGATTCACAAAAATAGAACTTCTAGGATATAATATATTCACCCCGTTCGTACCACACTTACATACCAGTATTATAATAATATGTTATTATGCTAACAAAAACAATATCTAAACTTTATAGTAGGATTCCCAAAATCCGGCCCGCACAGAGGAAGTAATTGAACCGCCAAAAATAAATTTTTTTTTAACGCTGGATTTCCGCACCTAATAGATATTTAATTTATTTTTAGGAAGTATTTAAAATGACGTTTTTAAAGAATAAATATCGTTCAACATTAATTGATCTCCATTCTCAATCTTGAAAACACTGCGTATTAGTTGTTCTCCAAGATAATGGGTATCACATTAAAAAAAAAACTGGCTAACAATATACCTATGTCCTGTTATGTTAAATAATTGGTTTAAACAGCTTAAACTGTATTTTTATCACAAAAATAAATACATTATTTATTAACTAGATGCTATTTAAGTTTTTTCTGGCCCTCAAAAATTGAATTGCTGACCCCTGCTCTATAGAGATAATAGACTAATGACTAGTCACTCACTATATTATACATTATAATATTATAACATCTCGATTTAAAATTGTTTAACGAACAGACAAGTGACAACAGACAACAGTTGTAAAATGTAGAAACCATTTATCTATACACACTTCAACATCCACCGTTTTCATTATAATATGTTTATTATAAAGCCACAAAAAGTCGACGGACGTCCGTGTAAAACACGAATCGTCTTTTCTCCAACACCTATAGTATACTTTTTAACCGCCTGTATATTTATCTTCGATATTCATTCTTCTTAATATATTGTTACCTATACATTATTGTACCCGTGTAGAGTTCATCGTTCTACACGTGATTACCTCAATTTCTTAGGCTCGTTCGCCTTATATTATATAGAAACACACAAATGTTATACTCCTTTTTTCTCTTATGGCATTAGCTCATAATATACACACGAGTAAAATAAAATCGTTAAAATAATATTGCACATCATTATAACTAGTAACATGCATACATATTAAATATTAAATATACACTTATATATAAACGCCGCGATCGACCGTTATCGGTGCGCGAGTGTGTATATTATTGTGTATTGTTACTAATATTATAATATTATAGGTAGGTACCTATTATTGTATTTCTTTGAGGCCCGTTTTTATCTGCAGTGATAAAAAAAGAAATGTTCGATTTACATATTTTAATATAGGTATACCTCTATATAACCTACCTATAACCTACCTATAAAAATTATACTCTGTCACGTATACGGTGTGTTCAAAGTTATATTCTAAGGATATTCATATTTCCCTAAGTTCACCAAAGTTTCCCTAATTTCTTTTTTGGTTTTTAGCTGGTTTAATTTAAATAACACAGTTAATGTTGGGGAATGACTCTGCGGAAGTTGATCGAGAAGATATAGATGATTTATTGGTACCTACCTATAGTTGATGTTATTTAGTTGCATATATAATATATTTTATAGTTTTATTTGCTATTGTTGGGCGATATTATATGATTGAATTATTTAATTTTTTCATGTTTTTACTTGTATGGCACATTTCATTATTTTTATTAACATTTTACGAACGCTAATCAGCGCAGTAGGTAGTTTTATTTAGTGCTACTTCTTGATCGGTCAATTATATTATACAGGGCGATTTGCCAAGCATGCTTACTCCCTTTTTTCTTCAATAATGTAGTTATTCAAAATCTGATTTTTGGGATTTTTAAATACATTTAAAGACCATATTTTCGAATTCTTAAGATTTTTTGTACTGCCTAAAGAGTGTTCTGTGGAGATAAAAAATTCTGTTATTCAAATGAGAACCTCTCCTTTTTAACTGTAAATTATTTAGTGAATCATTTTTCTGAAAAATTTGACCTTGATCAGAATCAAAAGTCGAGTAGTTTTGAGATTTAATACTGTGTGTTCTAAGGATGTATGCTGGTAATATGGCTTATAAGATAGAGAGTCTATGGTGATTTTAAAATTTTAGTCAATATTATTATTCTACCAATATTAATAATTTGTAAATAAAGCCCAAGTATAATAAATAATAGTTCCAATATTACGTATATTTTATGTTTTTGTAAAATCGTTTTTAAGGAGTAAGGGCTATTATCCTTAGTACAGACATTTTAATAACTAAGAAACTACTCTTTCGAATTCTGAATTAGGTACATCAACGTTTTCAAAAAATTATCCATTAAATAATTTACAGTAAAAAATGAGGGTTTTAATTTGAAAAACAGAAGTTTGTTTCACCACAGGACACTCTTTAAGTAGTTTATACAAAAAAAATTGTCTTTGAGTAGGTATATTTAAAAATTTCAAAAATCAGAATTTTAATAAATTCAATATTAATGGAAAACTGGATTGTGAGAATGCTTATTGGTGAATCACCGTGTGTATGTATTTGTATATATACAGAGTTATCCAGGCCTTATTTTAATTGAACATAATGGAAAATATTATTTTCCCTGTATTTAACTGCATTTTTTTTTTGTATTTTTCATTGTGTTTCTTTCTAAATAGTTTAAGTCAATATTAAGCTTTCAGACTTGATACACTCGTATTTTAAATTAGATGATATGTAAAATATAATAAATATACATGGGAATATCTTATGTTATACTGAACTTTGAATTACAATTCAGGTTTTGTGTACAGACGTAGGTTGTAGGTACCTTATAGTAATTCATTGTCACCGAATATGCATGTTAAAATTAATAATTGTATAGAGTAATGAGTATATAGACTATGTTATTATAATTGTATAGATAAGAAAAGCCGACAATGACCGTGTGAGAGTCGGCATCATTATAGGTGAGATCATTGAGCAAAATAATTAGATAGCTATTACCTATAGGCTATAAACCATGCAGTGGCGTACACTGAAATAATATATATATCAATCTTGTTTTACCTGTGAAATAAAATTTTTTTATTTTCGAATTAGGCAAAGGCTTTTTTTTAAATCCTACTGTTGTGAAATCGCGCTGCAAGAGCACACTGTATACAGCGTAACACAATATATTCCTCGGAAGGTCGTGTTACAACTTACAGTCATAACTTTATAGGTACATATATAGTATATATTATTATTATTATAATTTTTTTCCGGAATAAAGGCGTTCAAATATAAGCTTACAATAAGTCCCCAGCTTAGGCACGGTGGTGGGGTAGAGATTGGGGGGCTCCCTAACCTCGAGGTCTATCCGGCGGCACAGGATTGAGTGCGCAGTCACACGGCACATATAACGTGAGCGAAACAACAACAACAACCGTAATAATAATAATAATAATAATATATTATAATAAAAATACGAGCGCGTAACGATAATATAATAATGATTAATAATAATAATGTTATAATATTATCACGTAGGTACGCTGCTCGCCAACCGAACGGATTCTCTCGCAGAGAAGAGTCGCGACCGCCGGGTGGGGTGGTGGCGGCGGCGGCGGCGGCTGAGGCCAATTGGCCTAATTGGGCTTCCGGGAGAGTCGCAAATCACACCGGTCAATGTACACACACGGTTCACAGCAACGCGTATTCCGACGCCGCCGGCCTTTGAGTGCGCGATTGCAGATTATAATATCACACCAGCGGCGTAGACTCGGCGCTGCCCCGGGGCCCCTGTGTTGCGATCGACCGTCCCGACACGCACCATGTCCTGCACCGTCACGTCCGTCGCTTACGCCGCGATAGCGTTGATCGCCGTCTCGATCGTTTTCAACGCACACACCGGTAAGTGTATACTATTGTAATAGTTCCTATTATTATTATTATTATTATTATTTACTTACCTATAATATGATATAATATAATAATAATATACATTATATGTATTGTACATTGTATATTATTCGGGGTCGTATTTGAGGAGGATGTCACTGCATGCTCGTTGGAGAGGGGCAAAACGAGTATTATAATTATATTAAAAGTACCTAAAATACAAAATATATTGTTTTTATTAAAATTAGAAGAACGATGATATGTTGCCAATATATTATTGTACACTGCATAGTTGAGTGAGAAAAAAAAGCCGCTTACTAAATGAGTTTTTAAAATGTATTGTTTGCTTATGTAATAGTAATATTAAGAGTTAAAAAATCTACAACATTTTGAAGAGTACCAAATTGATAAATTCACGGGAGACATTGGTTTTACATTTTCTTTGGCCACACTGGGGCACAAACATCTTAAAATTTTAAATATGGCATCATGACTATAATAGTATAATACAATATATATATATATACCTACCTATAAATTGTCTTCATATTAATTAACTGTTTGTCGTAATGGTGGTGTAAGAGGCAGGAAACAACAATTTTTAAATAAAAACCTAACCAGGCTAAATGAGTAGTCTGTTACACAATATATTCCATGCCAGTATAATAGTATAGTTTTATTTAAGCTTTATCCATACCTATATATGTCATAATATTACTTCATCTTGTTTTACAGTTTCGTACCTTTATTCCCTATATAACTATAATATATTACATAGAGACATAATATGCACATAGAAGGCAGCCATGCGTTAATGTCCGTGTTTGTGTTGTTCATTATTAATTATTATTATATGAGAAAACTAATTATTAGGCACTTAAGGATTTTTGTGCTAGTAAAGTTATAAAATATAAATGATTCTGACTTGTCTATACATTTGGCTTATGTACATTTACGAAAAAACGATAAAAAAAAATTCCCATACAATACATACAATTATAACAATAAGGGGTAAATATTTGAAAAAGTAAATATTGTTTCCCATTATATACGGGCATGCAGTGTTATTACTTAAAGTATTTTAAATATCTATCAAATATAATATACCTACAATCAAAATGTTTAAATATTTAAACAGTTCAATCAAATAAATTATCTATTTACATTTAAATTTTGACATTTTCTAGATATTTATAAGTTATATATAATTATATATAGAGTGCGCCTTCTTTATTTTTTCGTTTTCCTATAAGATTATAGGTACCTTAAGTTTACCGGAAAAACGGAATACGCACAATGGCACGCCTTGTAATAAGATTAAATATTAAATATTATAGCTGACCGTGATATATTAATACGCTATAGTTAAGTTGTTTTCTCAAAGATAAGCTCCATATTAGCTATATTAGTTATTAATTTATTATTATTATTATTATTATTTAATATTAAGTACATTTATGTACTTAATGAATTAATCTGAGAATAAATTATAGAGTATTATTATAATTTTTATAAAACTATTACACTCAAATGGAATATAATAAACTAATAATAATAAATACATATACACAAGTTTTTATGATTTAAATTTAAATTATATATAGCATAAGTTATTTAATTTAATAATCAAACAATTAATTAAGAAGTTACAATCAGGCCTTGATAATAAAAAATAAGATACTAAAACTATGTTTATGTGAATATTTGAAATGTTGTTTCTAGTGAAGGCACAAACTGAGATACGGTGTTATGTGTGCAATAGTCATAATGACACAGATTGTGCTCAAGAAAAACTTCCAGATCATTTTAAAACGGAATGCTCAAAATTAAATATAGGTGTTCCAGAGGATAGTCGCAAAAATTATACCCTCTGCAGAAAGATCATACAAACAATCGAGCCGGAGGTCAACGGATGTAAGTATTAATTGCCAGACTTCTATATCGGACCTTATTTTATGAAGGGGATATATTATACTGCTTAAATTAAAATTAAAGTGATGATAGAGAAAGAACAAAATACAAAATTAATATTAAAAAGGATACTATTCTGAGGTTAATATATAGGGTTAATCAACATTTCAAATGTGAAGAGTTATAGGTATAATAATCTTTAGTTGTACTCTATACTAACTAATTATTTTGACATAATTATTGTTAAATGTTAATACACCAATTCTAGTTTATTCTAATATAACGCTATACAAATTCGATTTATTTAATGTTTTACAATAAATAATAATAAGAAGTAGTAATATTTTTATATGTAAATGAACTATTTTATACATTTCCTCTCAATATCTCATGACCGCAATACCTCATGTTCAAAATTATTGATATAACATACATTTTTAAGGACATGTGATTTTGAAATTAGATATTAAAACGCTTATTTTGTAATCTAATAATAAAATATTAACTGCTTGGATGTTAGCCAATGACGTAAAAACAACACAAATAATTAATAGTTCATATATAACATTTTTACAGAGGAATCGTTTTTAAAATCGTTCTAAAATTTTAAAATAGAAATTCAAAAAAACAATGTATAGTAAAGTTGATTGTATAATATTATTGAAGTGAATAGTTTTTTTGTTAGTTTAAGCCATGCATACTTTTTCAATGCTTTTCAAACGCATTTAAAAGTAAATACTATATAGGTAATAATATGAACAAATTGGAGACTAAATTCGCTTTCGATGACTAGGCCTAATGGAGCTGAACTCAAATATATCATGTACGTGATCGCTTCACTTCTTAAATTTAGATGGCTAGAAAGTTGTGGTTTTGTGGGATAAAAATTGTAGATTTCTCTTCACAACTTTGGAGTTTGGCCCTACTGACTAGGCCATTTGCACTACATATATAAACACTTAAGATCTTAACATATGTTATGTTAAGTAAAAAGCAATTAAATTACCTGATAGTGTAGTTCTTTTACTTTTATAGTAGGTATTGTGGTATAGGTACACTGCTGGTACAGTGATTCTTTTAAGAGGACGTGATATCCGCACTTGTTGTATCCGTGTTACATAGCAAATTTTACGCTCATCAGAACACGTGTAACTCCGTTAATATAAAATAAGAAATTATTTTTTTAAAGTTTTTACTGTTTATTATTGTGCTCCATAGCTATAATTGATAAAGGCTATTAAATAAAATTAAAATTAAATTTTTTTTGAACCAAACAGCATTTTAAATTATATATGTTCAGAAATGCAGGCTAAATAGAATATATTTTTGAGATTTAATACATAAATATCACACCACTCAGAATATAAAATTAAATTTTGAACAAGTAGTTAATTAGTTATAACTTGTAATTTATAGTAAGGTATTTAAAGTTTAGATGAGTGGACTGGAGTGCAGTGGCGCCGATGTCTGTTTCATATGGTATTGCATAAAAATAAAAACTGATATAGGTATAGGTACCATAACTACTTTCCCCTCAAACAGTCTAACTAAAATAAGAGACAACATACAAAATATTCCAATTAATTATATCCAAATTCCAAATAGCTATAACTTGTACATGCTAGGCCCTGGTATCAGTGTAGTATAGTGTGCCCCCGTCTACTGCTTGAGTGGCACAGCGGCATAGGGGCGTAAGTGGTTAAAAACTGAGAGGGAATAATAATGTATTCTCCAAAGTCAAAATCATATCCTAATTATATTATTTTTAATAAAATATAATTATTATTCATAATCGATACATAAGAATAAGTATTGCTTAAGCTAATTTTGATAATTTAAAAATAAACATTCGTGATAATAACTAAAAGCAATGCTTAAGACAGGTCTCGACCAACCTTGATTTAAGTAATTTTTTCTTTTCTTAAGCCAAAGTCTCGTTTATGAATCTCATTTGAGTCATAAGTATATAGCCTTAAGCAATACTTATTCTTAAGCATTAAATATGAATACGGCTCTTATAACTCATTTTATCGCTTAGAAACAAATCGAAGGTACAAATAACGTTAAATAATATTAAATATATAAGAGTTAGTAAAAAGGTCCTATAAATTATTTCAAAAAAAAAAAGGAAAAAATAAAATATATCCTTATATAAGTAGTTATTAGGTATTGCATTCTTTCTTTATTAGAATATTAAAATATTTATACAGTTGGGATATTTGGGTGGATTTAGCAAAAATCTTCTCCATGCTAAAATTTTAGGGGGGTGCGGCAAGTACCCTCCACAATTAAGTCACTACAGGGGAACCGCACAAAATATTGGTCTACTATAATAATACTCAACTCTTCAAAAGTTCAAACATTTTAATTTATTAACTAGGTACTATTGTTTAAAATTTGGTTTTACATATTGAAATTCTCAGGAACATATTTTTACTTTGGAATGTATGAGATTAAAAATGTTTGCTGTCAATCAAAAACGTAAAAATCTGAAGTGTTAACAATAAAAAAATTAGTAAAATATTTATTTTGTTTAGTAATAACTTTAATACAATATTTTCAAAAAACATATTAAAACTTTTCGAGCAAAAATTTAACCTTCAAATTATCAAATGAATCAACCGATTTGCATAATTTTCCAAATCTGGCTACCTACGCTTCTATCACGTTTGTAACTTTCATGTTCATATTAGGCAGTAGGTACGTACTACTAACAACTATCAACTTTTAAACACAAATATTAAGTTTAGTAATATCATAGAACATAATATATAGGTTTATAAATCATAATTAATCGCAGTCCTTTACTAATATGGTAGAGTAAATACTAAATAATATTATTAATCATCCCATCATTTAATTTTAATATATATTAATCATATACCTAGTATATTAGTTTAGATTATAGGAAGGTAGCTTATTTATCTGATAGTTATATGATTTTTTTATTAATATAATTCCCAAGTTCAAATCCTTTTTTCATTTATCAATATAGGTATATTATAATAGTAAATACTTTTAAATTACTAGAAAAAAAAATGAGAATAACTTATATTTTTGAAAGCGTTATGTTAACAGCACTCGTTTTAAATGAAATTGATTTTAAGTTGTACTTAAATATTCAATACGCCTATGATATTCAACACACTTGTCTGACGTTATTTAAATTATTAAAGAGGGAGTCTGAACTCTGAATTGAGAGCACTGACACTTCCACACATATTGTATTACGGTACGTTGTAGCACGTGGCTACTACATAAATGGTACCTAAAATGTGTTATTATCGTGTATCCAAAAGTCAAAACCCTAAGCCTTCTTTGTTTTTAGCCTTTTATGACTTTATGATATATTATTTATCATATTTAAACTTTAACAATAATATATTCAACATTATTATTATAATACTTAGGTAATTATTAATTATTTGTCTAGGGTTTGGAAGTAGTTATAGGAGGTATAAAAGAAAAAATATGCATGAAAATATACACGAAAAAATTGTAAAATATGCATAAAAAAATGTCAAATATGCAAAAATTTTAATAAATATTCATGAGAATTCAAAATTCCAAAACAACCATTTTATGTTATTATTAATTTATACTATAAGAAATTTAAACTATGTAAAATAAATTTATAATATTTAAAATATGGTGGAAAACTGTTTGCCGTTTTGACACTTTATTGAACTGAAAAAAATATATTTGAAAAGATAGTAGGTACATCGGAATATTAGCGAGGTAGAGATTAATACGCATCGCACCGTTGTCGTTACAATGTCAAATTAATAGTGGACTGGGACGGTATTAATAAATAGGTACCTATATTAAAATATAATATTGAGTTTTATATTCAATATTGTTATTAAAATAGAATAAGATCAATTTTGTTTAGAAAATAAAAAATATGAATAATATGCGTATTAAAAACAAGAAACATGCACTTTTCCCCAAAAATTGACGAATTATGAATAATATACATTTAAAATTTAAAATTTTTAAACTCAACTTTGTATGGCTCGGATTTCTAGCTTGGTCTGCTATAGATCGTGAGCATATGGAATAATATGCAATTCCTACAACTTCAGAGCCGTATTTATTATCTATACGGCTATATTTTATTTGTGCTAACATGATTCTTAAATAACTAATAAATTATTTTATAACACCTGTTTTATAATTGTTAATTATAATATTATAATATTAGGCATATTAAGAATGGGCCTGTACTTGAAAAAAACTTAAATATTCATGTATAGATGTATAATAATCTTAATTAAACCTTAAATTATTCGCCCCAATTTAAAATATTCTGATAAAACGGGTACACAAAATATTTCTATTATTTAATGGATAACTTTAATAGTAAAAGTGAGTTTATTTATTTGATAATACTTATCTATGGTTTTCTTTGTTACAGTGCCGTCAGATAGAAATCGGATCATTAGGACATGTGGCTGGGACGCTTCAAATTACAATAATAAATGTTACCATCGATCCGGATTTGGTGGCAAGCAGGACGTGTGCACTTGTATGACAGATTATTGTAACTCGGCTCAAAAGACATACATAGCGTTTGCAACTGTAGTGGCAGCAGCATTCGCTATCCTTATTTTGTAGAAACGAGGATATTATAACTCTCAAACACGAGATAAATATTTTTAATTTAAGCATGGATGCAAGTATTGTTAATAAATGTTGAGAAGTATATAAATAAAACCAGCAACTGGTACCTTCATGACAAAAAATAAGCAATACTGTTTTTATTAGTTGAAACTTTTATAGCATACAGATACAATTATAAGTTAGTTAGGTACACACTATTTTTCTATATTAAAATATTTTATAAAATATGTGTGTTTTCATAGTGTGCAAAGTGTTAAATTGTATAGTCTATACTCTATAATATGAATTATAAGAAGTTGTACAAAAGAGTTGTAAAACTGTCCAATGTACCTACATTATACATACCTTGATAAACATAAAATACAAAAATAAAATTTTTATTTCAAATATTTTTAGTTCCCGCGTAAAAATGTATATGTTAAAACTGAAAACAATAAAATTGTGTATTATATAATGTAATTTATGTAGTATGTACATAGATACAGCTTTCTAGATCTCTAGTAAAGATGTATGTTAAAAATAATAGGAGGATATTTTTATTATAATTATTGTTTATATTTTACATAATAGGTACCTAAGTATTATGATAATACCTACCTACGCAATTAGATTTGTTCGTAATGTTTTATTTGATTACATTATATAATTAAACCTCATTGAGAAAAATTAAAACTTGTATGAAATCAATTTAAATTTTAAAATGATTGGATAATTATAAAATAACGTAGGTAATAACCTAAAAGTAAAAACGTTTAACTTGGGTATACCTATATTAGTTCTAAATAATATAAGCATCAATTAATAATGGCATTGATATAAATGAGTATTTGTTATTTTAGAGATTCAAAAAATTGAACAATATCAGTGCAAATGTCCTTATGACATAAAAAAACTTCATAAATCGTAATAGTTGTACTTGTAATTACTACCTATGCAAATGCAGCAAGGTTCCAAGTGTTAAATAAAAAAAAAAATGTTGTTTTCACAAAAAACGAGTGGCGTATTGTTTTATATTTTAAAATGGAATTATACATCATATTATACCTATTGGACATTCACATAGGTTCATTATTTATATACACATAAATGTTGTAGCACTTGACAGTTTACATTATAAAGAATATAAAATATAAGTTGACTAATTTGTCTCCATTATCGCGAATTAGTACCTATCGTATTTTATACTTTAAATAATACGAATGACATAATATAATATGAAGTCCATACATATATGACTATTTATTATTTATAATTATTAATTATTATATATTATACATTTATACTACTTCACCCGGTTAGCTGTATAGTGTAGGTATTAATGTATTGTAGACATTTTATAAAATGAACTGTATAATGAATAATAACATCATCAAAATGTTTCGGGAGAGAGAATTACCTATGAAAAGAACAAAAAAAAAAAACAATAACAAACAATCATGTTCGAAAACGCACGTTGGACAAGCCCAAGGTCGGTTAGTGGTAGGTGTACGCAGAATAGTTTTTAGAGAGGTGCGCGAGAGTCAGTTATAACCATTTGCAGTCTGCAGACACTTGTCCGTTCGTACCCGCAACGGAAACAACCTATAATATCTGCAGTGGTCCATTTAAATATAATTATTATAATTGTTTTTAAAGTGTACCAGAACAATAATTGTGTTTTAATAATATTCACCCGAAGAGAGAAGAATCACAAATATGAAATTAACTGCATCAATATCGTTATGTTTAATCGCCCTGTTTGGATCGAGTGAGTATTTTTTTTTATTTGTTCCCCCGTTCTCATTTTTGTATGTCTTTGTTTTTTCTATCCGTTGTGATGATTTGCACATTTTCGCAAACAAGGATTTTATTTTTAAACTAGATAGGCAGGTTTCGTGTCCAATCGCCTCTTAACCGGACGTCGATGTAATGTTATGCTGTGCCGTAGACTTTCACTGAATCTAGCAATACAATTACACAGCGGGTAGTATAGGTACACTTGGTATCTATTTACGTAATGTTCAGTACCTACATAGGTATACTACATCCACATATCGTTTAGATATCCATCTGCTTTTATGAGGCTGTGACCTACAAATATTATATATGTACCTACCTACGCACTTTTCTGAAAACTATATGTTCGTTATTGATATTATTATATTGTTCTATAATGTAATGATTCTATTAACTGTGTCATCCAATAATATTGGTCATTGAAAACAAATTGTGATGTATAATCTATAAATATTAGGTAGGTAGGCAATCTCTGGTAAAGTGGTATAAATATATTGAAAAATAATCAGTTGGGCTGCATATTTGTGTTCTTTGTTTTTGTTTACTAATAATTTTTTAAGTGTAAAAGTATAAAAATATTTTTATTTTTTGGTTAGTAACTATACCTAAATAAATCAAATTATTATTTTTTTTTTGGACAACATTTGATATGCGAATATATGTTTTTCTATATTCAATAAGAATTAATACTATTTTATATTTTAAAAATATTGATTTGCGCCATTTTTAAAAACTGTAAATGCATATTTTAGAGTAGTGTGTTGGAACTTTAAGTGCATTTTTTAAGGTTTTATAGTGCATTAAATTCACAGCTCTACTAATAAAACATCTGTTGTGCGGTAGCTGGTAGAAATTATACCTATATATGTTATAATAGTAAATATACAACATACGCATAATGTACTATAGGTATACAATACTTCAAACTAAACATTCGTAATATCCAAATGAAGACTTTAATGAGCTCATTTTTATGCGTTTACCTACTTAAAAAAAAATCATCAGTGAACCATGTCTCCCCCCTGGAAAGTGAATATACCACTAACACTGTTGGAGTAGTACCCGTGACGACAAGGACTCTTCGAAGGCTATGAAAATATCATTGCTAATTATTACATTAATAATAATAATGTTGTTATTGTTTGTTTCGTTAATTTTCACGGTATTATAGAAGACAACCTGGCAATTATTACAGAATTTTATTGTACATTTTGTAGAAAATTGTATGAACTAAATATAGTTAAGCAATATGTTTTAATATGTAATTCGACTAATGCTTGAAAAATAGGTGATTTAAAACGTAATGTGGGATACTCAAACATTATGTATATAGGTATAGGTATCTATACACAAATTACTTGAAAAGCTACTTGGTAAACTACGATCTTTGTCAAAAAAGTGTTGTAGCATCGCAATATTATAATATATTATACCGTTATTAGATATATCGTAGGTATATATGAATGTGAATGCCGAAATAAATCTATTTAAATTATTAAACTGGTTTAAATAAAAGGTTTGATGAACATTGTTTAGTAAAAAAACTAAATAGCATTAAATAATTTGAAATATCCAATGTAGAGGAAATGTAATGTTTAAATGCACACAGAAACATAATAATATGGCAGTTTGCCATTTGGACAGGTTCAATTTTTTTTCGCCAAAATTATTATTTCCAAAGTGTGATTATCATTCACCTGTATAATATGATAAGGCATGATAATTGTCATTTCTCTTCAACTTATTCAATTACTAAATTAAATTTATAAAATTCTTCTAAAATTCTGTCAGTGGATTACATATTAATTAATTTCGGTGGGGGGGGGGTTACCAATAAATCCCTCTATATACGCCGCTGGCTGTTGTTATTATTATTAAATAAATATCAGTTATATCAGTTAATATGGTTATTATAAAATACATTAAAACTAATTTTCCTGGATCTACCTACTATAGGTACTTATTACCTAGTTATTTTTGTCTCATATATCGATAAGCTTTATAAGTGTTCACTTTGAAAGAAGTTAGGATATACTATTTTTGTAACAAGTTATATTTGATTGAGCTCGTTTATTCGAATGTAATTTGTGTGTAGTTACAAACTACATACTAAAATGTATAGCTATATGCCTTTATTGTTATACCTACACATATTACCTACATGTTTTTTCATTGAATCAAAAAAATTTATACAAATTTATAAATCGCAGATACGATATTATCGAAAATTGTTAGGACGAGTGCATGGATATTATTAGTAGTATAATTTAAAGTTATTACTGTAATTGGAAAGCATATCTATTATATCAACATTTTGATCATGAATATATTATTATTGACTTCTCGTTTATCTCAAATAAGGTTTTATTTTTTGCATAAACCTACCTTTTCAATTGATGGTCAATTGGTTGTAAGTTAGATAAAATTATGTTTTTTTTTTAAGTTACTGGTATCAGTGGTATCTACAATCTACTGGTAAACTGATAGAGTCATAGACTATTTTAGCCTATATTATAATAATATTATATTAAAAACTGATTTTACAAAAACCATAAAGCCCCCTCATCTTATAGTCCCCCTCACACAAAATCAGTGGCTAAGCCACTAGGTCATGCTATATAGTTGCAACTTGAACTGCGGAAACGATAATCGTGCTTTTTTGTCGGAAACGATACCCATTTGAATATCATTTTACGTTTCCATGATACTTTTAAATAATTTATGATTATAATAATCAAAATTTATACACATTTCATGGTAGCTTTAATGTTTTGTATTTGTTCGACACCGTGGGCGGGGGTGAATGAGTGATATATTATTGTTATAATTCTATATATTCATTATGTATGTGTACATATAATAATTAAATTCATCAGTTTTCTTTTATTATAATGAGTGCAAAAACAAAATTACAGCATGATCTGCATTAATTAAGTTGCGTCAACATTATAAAAAATGTATAATAGCTGGTAGATACTAATATTTTAAGTAAATTAATAAAGGCAGTGTCTATAATATACTCATAGGCAATAATTTTTTAAGCACTTTTTTGCTATTATAAAGATCTGTATGAACATACCTAGGCCACTATAGCTAAACGCATTTTTTATATTTATTTGTTTTATAATGTGATGAGAATTATATCTATAATATCAATATACTTTATATGTCAATAACGGCGGAAAGAAGATTATTTATAATATAATAAATAAATACATACTATTAAAACGTTTAACATACAATTATTTTACCATAAAATTGTCATAAAATATAATACTTGGCATATTGTAACACGTGTTTATTAAAAAGAACCTGTTTATTATATTATACAACAATTATTTAATTTCAAAAGATTAATATTATTATACATTACAATGCTTTACAATGCTTTATAAATTTAAAAGTATATGAACCGCAAATATCGCACATACCCACATAATATTATATTTTAATTAAAAAATATTAATTTAAAACTAAATTCCAAGTAAGTAGTTTATTCTGTTACCAAAAAATCTAAAAAATACATAAGTACAGTTTATTTTTATAGTCATTTTAAGTTCAAATTTGGACGAAATTACATATTAAAAACCTCATGAGTACCTAACTATTTTAGTTATATTTTGTTGTGATTGTATAATATTATTCGTGGGTAATTGAAACTTCTAAAGTATACTATTATATATCTATTATAGTATCACGGTTTGTTGTTGATGTATAACAAGTTATAAGTACCTAATGGCTATTGTGAAATGATTAATTTGGAATTTATTATAGGTACCTATTATAGGTCAATTTTATTTTTTTTAATACCATAGATAAGTATATAATATGTCTTATACCTAGACTGACATACCGTCTCCGCTCAGAATCGTTTTTCTTATACAACGATATTATATCATTGAATTCAAAATTAATACCATCCATTATACAGTGACCCCCTTGTAAACTATACTGTACAGCAGAGCGACTTTTTTAGTTTTAACTTGCCATCGTGATTATATTTAAAACCAGATTAATTATTGTCACATAATGTTTATCGTTTATAATTAATAATATATTAATTTATTATTTAATTTAATAACTATCTATAGTTATTATAGTCAATACAAATTCTTAAAATACGTGTGAAAATTAATATAACAACAATTAGTTTAATTATTACTTATTAATTATTTTTATTACCTAGGTACTATAAATATTTATGGTACCTTATTTAAGGCAATTTAGTGTTAAACAAAAATTAGTTGGTTAATACGAAAATATGGAATCATACATATTCAATATAATTTATATTTTCCTGGCATTTATAAAAATACTAACAACTTTGTAATTAAGAGCTACTTATACATTTTATTCGTAGGTACCTACTCCAAATTTAGAAAATACAATAAAACAATGCAAAACTATATAAATTGTTTTTCATTGACATACGAATTAAAAAATCTATTTATGTTTTAAAGTAATGGACTATATTATACTGCCGTGCTAAGAGAAATCAGGATACTTTTGTGTCTACAGATAATATTAATGGTTTTATAATTTATACCGATATTTTATGGAAAAATAGCGTATTTCCTATTAAAAGCCATCTTAAATTGCAATTTAAAATAAGAAAATATGCGGTAAGTCCAATATATTTTATGTTTTGTAAGCGAAAACACGGTAAAAGAGTTCAATAAATTCTGGACATAAAATTAGATACATCAGCACGAGTTCTGATAAATTGTTTTAATGTTTGATTAGCTGTTAAAAACATTATTAATTTCTGTTTCTCAACAATCTGACTGAAATTGACTGAAGTTATCATGTTTCCGCATAGCACCGGCGCACGGCAGTATATTATTATAATATGTGCATATAAAGATTATCAAATATAAAAATCTTGTATTATTGTGTGGGTTTGGAAATGGTTAAAAACATACATACATATATATATTGTCATACCACCTATATAATATGTAAACATTTGGCAAACCGGTAACCTTGAAATATTATAACTACCTATGCGTTTTTACACATAATACATATATATTTAGTGTTTTCAATGTTTGCGAAGCAAAAAATAATATTAGTCACTAGTCATTACTTATTATTCGTTATAACAACACAGCCATTATCACGTGATTATTAAAATAAATAATAAGAGTTTTACATATCCGAAATCAACTCAACGGAACAAAATAGAATAGCAAATCATAGATTTAATAAGTCATACTCATCATAAATGTCTGTGACAACGGCGAATTGATGCCATAATAATGTATGTAATATACACATTTAAGCAACTAGATACCTAAGGGGGCGGACGCCAGACAGTATAAGGGGAGGCTAATGTCGGGTTGAATAAAATAAATATCTAAAAGAGAAATCTATACTTAGGTAGCTGATTTCCAAGGATTCGAGGGGTACTCATTTTAGAGCATAAGGATATTTATACATATTTATTATGTAGGGTATAGGTATATGATATCCTTATATCACTTAGATCTGATATTTTTTAATGTAATTTTAATGTATAAATTTATCAAAGTAAAACATTACCACGTACCTATATGTTTATGCATTTTCCTATATAAATGTACACATTCCATTAAACTGTTTATACCTACCTACTCTAAATATGACGATTATTAATAGTAGTAACATATAGCTGGTATAATTTACATTCCATGTATAAAAACTAACATATGTACATTATTTTCCAAAACCCCAAAATATTTGTCAAAATCAATCAAGTATTTTTTTAGTAAATAAACCAGTCCTAAACCATAGTATACACTTAACCTCTAATATATGATGATTAATAGCTATTAGTATTATTACATAATTTTACATTTGTATAGAATAACTTTTTATTAACCTATAAATGACAAAATATTATATTATATTACAGAAATGTCTATTCAATCATAATAACTAGGTATGTTATTATTTGTAACTATAATAGCAACCTATACATAAATCAAAAAATATTCGATTGTAGCACATTTTATATTAACTATTAACTTAGTACACATTTAAAATTTTCCTTCGTTTAATTGTAATGTTTGATTATCAGGTGCTGGTCTAAAATGCTACACTTGTGGCTGGTGGAGCAAAAGTTGCGGTGATCCATTCATGAAAGATGACTATCTTTTAGTTGAATGTAATACTAGAGCGATTAATGATTTCAACCACGAACTAGGAAATACCCTAAATACAGCCAGTAATGCTCTACAAAATTTCGCAAATCAGGTGGGTTTCAACATCAATCAAAACAACAATTTCAATTTGCCTACCATTAGTGAAGATTCAGTTGGATGCACTAAAGTAGTACTTACACGTATGTATCTTAAAATATTATATTATTATTAATTGTGTTTACACACCAATATAAACACACTTTTTCTTAACTTATATTTTATTTCAAAATATATTTTAGGATTTAGATAAATAGTTTAATTTAAATTTTTCATAACTGGATAGATATTTTATACCTACCTAATATGTATAAAGTTGTTTCAATTAATTTAAGTGTTTTTTTTAATGACTCATTCTACGAATGAGGCCCTCTGTACATTATTTTATGACGGCTTTGCCAGGCTAATTATCACATAAAGAAATATAAATATTATTGCGCTTGATAAAATGTTCAGGATATATTATATTACTATAGGTACAGTGTTATTTGTTAACAGTGAACACTCAATAAGTATCTCGAATATCGTTACAGTTACATATTTTTTTTTACATAATTTGAATTTATAATAAGACTTTTTTTAAGAAAAAATATATTTTTGCATCTTTATAATTTTTAAGTTTTTACTTTTTTTAAATACCTAATAACAGCATCAATTTTTAATTTCATATTCTGAGGAGAATATTTTTCTGAAAATGTAAATGTTAAAATATTGGATTTCTAACGAGTAGGTAGTTAAACAGTAATAACTTTAAATTACTTTAACTACTATATTAATTGTTCAACATTTTAATTTTTATATAAGTACCGAAATTCCAAGAAAAATATTCTGTTTTGAAATATGAAATTGAAATTTAACTTTTTAAAAAAGTAAAAATATTAAAAATTATAACTTTAAAAAATAATAAAATATAATATTTGTTTCAAAAATATTGTTTTATAATGACTTAAATTAGGGGAAATATAAGAATTTTATTAAAAAAAGATACATTATAGTATTTTAACAATTAAAAAATACATTAATGTAGGTACCAAACAATATTTGTTCAACACGCAATGCGTTAACTACGGTTCAGATAATATGTATTGACATATAAGTCGTAAATATAGTTTAGCATATTATAGTCCTAAATATTATAACTAACAAATATTGTCATCGTCTGTCTAATAGTTGTAACATATTTCTGTTTCCGGTACAAACGCACACACATACATTATATTATTATATAATATAGACGGAGAAGATATTGTACGAGTGGCTCGAGGATGCGTTTACAACAAAGCAGACTTGTGCAAGGGAATGCAAAGACTTGACGACGAGCTGAAAACCCTCAAATACTGTGGTTCGTGCGACGACGACGGATGTAACGGTTCTAGGTCGTTGAAGTCTTCGGCGGTCGCGACAATTCTGACCACGATGGCCACGTGCCTGTTCTACAGGCTACAGCACTAATATCGTAATAGAAACCCAAACGCAATACTGTTTTCACAAAAGTTGAAAAGTGTACCTGAAACTATGTTTTGTTATTGTTCCGAACTGTTATAGCATATTCAACCACATAATAATATTATAAATTATAATACGTATGCATACGTGCGGAAATAATTTCTTTACTTTTTACGCGTTGTATTATTATTCCAAAGAATATGTTTACATATATTATTGAAACGTAACACATATCATTATAATTGAGTGTTTTTGTTTTTTACGTCAACCGTGTGTAAATTATTTATATTGGTACAGGATTTCCTTTTTTCTCAATGTTAATACACTCAATATATTATGTTGTATTATAAATAGTTATATAAGTATAACACTGTATACCTAACCTGTTGGATTTGCCTTACATGTATGTAAGCGGAATACCGGCTAAATTACGATTATACCTAATATAAAATTATACTACTGCACTAGCTAAGTTGTTTAGTCTGTTTATAAATGTCATTCAAATATAAAGTGATAAATATAAGGATGTATTATGGTGTGTTAATATTTTGGATTCTTAATAATTATATATTTAAAGACATATCATATTATATAAAACATTTCAAAAAATAGTCATACCCAATTTCATATCCCTAAAAAATGATTTGGAGGTGTATGATCATTATTTTACCTTTCCACAACAGTCGGGCGATGGTCAATTCCACCGATTATACCTTTTCTGCAACTATTTAAATTTCTGTATTATTCAGTAATTATATTAGTAGTTTATAACACATTTTTTTTAATGACCTTTCCTCCCCACCCCGGTTTTTTTTGGTGGGTTTTTGAGTTACACCAAACAAACAAAATCAATTTTGTCAAAAACTTGTGTCTTGCTTAAAAATGTTTATTTTTCCTTATTTTTTTTTTGTTTTCCTCGTCACTTAAAAAATATTGGAATATTTTTTAAATTACCAACTAGATTTGCTTTCCTACTAGAAATGATAATGAAGTTGAAAATCGAAGCATTATTTAAACTATTTATCGTGTAGGTATACTGTATATATAGACACACAAAAAAAAATCATCACACATTATTTTTAAATAATTGTTTTCATCGTTCCGATCAAAATCTAATAATATTATGTATGAAATACACTAGTACCTAATTATATATTATTAGATAAGTATGTTAATATAAATAGCAGTTAGGTAGTTAATAAAATTATCGATGCAATAAGTCCATATCTTAAAATATTTATTGTTTTTATAAAAAAAATACTATTTCTGGTAAGTTAAGTTTTTAAAAAGTACATAATTAAACTTACAAGAAATTTTCGAAGACAATTTGTTATATTTATATGTGGTTAAAGATAACTTGCAAAATTACTGTAGTATGTAAGCTATTAAATATTAAAAACGCTCTTCTGTACATTGTACAATATACCATTTTTTTATATATGGCCATCTTGAACTGACAGTACGATGTTACTAACATCATAGTCCAAAAGAAATGTTTAGTTTAGGCCCAGAACAATAGGTTTAGGTATTCGGCGACAAACCAATACGCGCGCGTATTATCAGATGTGGAGATTGATTGAACAGAATGGCTTTCTTTATATTTAAATATTAATTATTGAACGTTTTGTCGACTTTGATTTGACTTACCACCTAAATCATTGTAAATCTATTTTCAAAAAAAACCCTAAATACGCCACTGTATTTATAGTACCTGAAAAGAACAATATGTAAGCTCAACAGCTACTAGTTTTTGATCTGTACAAATAAACGTTAACCCCGCATTGAAACTATTTGTTTAGAAATTCAATTTAAATTTTAAATTTTAGGTTAAAATTAAATTTGATCAAAATGACACACATGTTCCATTCGACTTTATACCAAAATTAACACAACCCATTCAATATGGTATGACTATAATATTTGTATTGCTTAAAATATGTTTGATTTATTGATTATAATCATGCATTATTATGACAATTGATTGTACATACTACCTTTTATATAATACATAATTTATTATACTGTACAGTGGAATTTTAATTATTTTGGTAGGTTAAAAAACGTACTGGTGGAATTCACATGTTATAAAGCCGACCCTAATAACGACTACTCGAAAATCAGTGGAATTTACATGCACCCAACCCTGCCTGTATCTACAGCTGTACTATAATAATAATACAAATTATCTATTAAACATTAAACTTATTATAAAGGTAAGTTTTGATCGTTAGGATCATAGACACAAATAGGGGGGAGGGTGGATTAGGAGCTGAGCCCTCCCAAAAATGTCCTACACACTTTTAACCTTACTCAATATTATTTTAGTAGGGCTTCAGCCTTCCAAATCTCAAACACTATTTACGCCTATATATGGTTGAGGACCTTTAGTTTTTTCATATTTGTCTAGAATGGTTGTAGAACAATGAGAGTGATAGACGAATTTATATTTTATAAGCGTTTATAACACAGAGAAGGTTATATTAATACTTTAATTTGTCGTTATTGCATATAAATTCTTATTAATTGAATAAGTTTATTAGTAGGTATATTAGACAAATTAAGAGCAAATATTATACTATACATTTATACAGTGTTCGGAACGTTGACTAAAAAATTAAATTCGTTCCCGTTCACGTTCTGTGCTTAAAAAAGGAACTCGTTCACGGTCACGTTCATATTTTTTAAAATAACCATGTTATTTAATTTTTAATTTTCATGAATCGTTTGAATAGGTACTTATAAGAAATCGTGGAAAATCACACCTAATATTATTGTTGTTTTTATGTAGAGCAGCGCCCACTGCATTTTCACTTAGGTATTTTATATTTAAAATTCGTAATCAAATAAATACAATAAGAATATTATAACTTATAAATTTATATTGTAGAAAAATTCTATTATAATATAATATTACATAGTATTATTAATCACTATTTATTAAATAGTAAATACATTTTAATGTGTTAAAATTCGTTAAATATGTAAATGTTGTTCGTTCATGTTCGCGTTCTATTTGAAAAAAACGAGTAACGTTCATGTATCGTTCACCAAAATGTATGAACGGCTATAGATATGAACACGTCTACGTTCTTTTCAAACACTGATACTTCAGACGCGCATTTGGAAAATATTGATTTTATAAAATAATATATAATAATATATTAATAGAGGTAACCTGGTAACATATTATAATAATCTGTATAAAAATATTATTTTCCGAATTTCTACCTGTATATATATCTACCTATAATATTAATATTATCGGTTGGGTAATTCAGTATCTGGCCAATTACATCACGACGTGTGTAGCCGTAGAAAGTAAACTTCAGTTGTCCGTCACAGTTTATCGAATGCTGTTATGTGTACATCATATTTTATTTAAAATATTAATAATTATTATAATGTCCGTGTTAGTTTTCACTCTGATTTTTCATTATATGGTCATACACTTTCATAGCGAGATGGCGCTACAGTTTACGAATTTCGGTTTGTATATAATTTTTATATTTCGAGTTTCCGTGCCAAACTGCCAACCGACACGGTTCACATATTATTTGTCTTCCTATTGTCTTATTCAGGGCCGGATCGGTTAGGCGAGCTACCTAGAAAATCTCGGTGGGCGGCCTAAAGTTTGGGCCGGTCGTGTGAGTGAAAATAAATTCTTGTTTAAAATACGATTGGCCACCTATAAGCCCATAATAATAATTATATTACGTAATATTTGGGCCTTTGCATGTGTAAATAGGCCGCTTAGGAGTGAAAATCTCGATGGGCCGATACATACCAATCCGGCCCTGTTAGTACCTATCTTATTATAATTTATTTTTCTTAGATAGGTAACACTATTTCCCACCACACAGTTCTTGTGCTTCGGCAGACCGTTTCAGATCCAAATGTATTCGTAAAAACTTTAATATTTACAGTATTTCAACAAATATTTTAAATTAATTAATTTTACACAAACGTGTTGACACATTTATTAATTATATTATCAAATAAAAATCAAATAATATAATATAACATAGGTATTATAACAAAAGCATTTATTCATTGGTAGATACATATATTTTTAATTTTTTTACACGTTTTGATAAAAATAATTACATATTTATGTACATAATATTTTGATTTTTTTATTACAATAAGTTCCATAATTATTACATTGTTATTAAGTAAGTACATTATTAGATTATTACGTTATTACATTATATACAATTTATAAGTTATTACATAGAATATTATTATAATATATACAATTTATAAGTTACTAGCTGATCCCGTGCACTTCGTTTCCCGTTAAATGTACCAACTCTATATGACTCAAACATTGTTCAATGCGTTATTTAATATTCGGTGTATGATGTTCTAGATTTATCTTAACTTTTCTGTTGCCAGGAATAAAAATTCTGAATTGCAGCAGTACATTATCAGATAGGTAATTTACTGCGGTAGATCGCGGACCCCGTGCTGTTTGTACGTAAGTGTATGATTTAACTCAAAAAGTATAAAAGTTATACCAAGTTTGACGTTTTTACTTAATTTCACCTACCTATAAATCCTAACCTAACGTAACCGTACTAAAATCCGATGAATAAAAAAACCAAATTTAATCCTTCTTAAATTAGCGTAGGTATCTTCTTCCCATAGGTCTAATCTACACACCGTCATTCATTTATATATAAGATATATTTACAAAAAATAATAATACAAATCAACAAACATGCCCGATTAACCAATAGCAACCAATATAATATAATACACCATAGAGTAAATAAAGTCAACGGTATCGAGTTCAAATCCCAGACATCAATAAATAGTTTTTGCAGTTTTTCTAATTATTCGGTTGACTTTTTAAAAATTTTCATTCGTAAAAACCTTCACCTGGCAATTACGAACATCTTAAAAAAAATTTGAGCAAAATCGGCCCAGCCGTTCTCAACTGATGCAATTTCGAATATTTTGTCTCCATTTTTATATATATAGATTACACAGAATATGATTATAATATATACAATTTATAAGTTATTACACAGAATATGATTATAATATATACAATTTATAAGTTATTACACAGAATATGATTATAATAAATACAATTTATAAGTTATTACACAGAGTATGATTATAATATATACAATTTATAAGTTGGGTATTACACAGAATATGATAAGGTACAATATATACAATATGACATTATTTAGATTACATTATTTACATTAAGTTGGAAAGTATACAGATATACCTATACAGTGGCGTATCCAGGGGGGGGGGGGGGGTTTGGGGGTTGTAACCCCCCCCCGAAAATTGTTAAATTATAACAACGTTATCATTAATAAATCATTTTAAGATAAAATTCCACAAAAATAAATTATAACCCCTCCCGAAAAAAAATTCTGGATACGCTACTGTACCTATACAGCTTTAATATATACGCGAAATGGCACATAACACGTGGCTAAGAGCCGAGATAACAGTGGGAGGGAGGGATGTTTCAAAGCTATACGATATATTATATTTTAGTGGTCTATGATTTCGGTAGAACCACAGCAAAACAAACGTCTTACAAATTTTTTGGTCCGCCTCCAAAACGAACGGCGTTCAACGGCAGTTACATCCGTGTTTTTCGCGGTGTTCGAATCCGGAAATTCCGTCTCGCCGGACGTGGCAGGCGACAATTCGGAGCATCATCAGCTGGAATCACAGCGATATCCGTCATACAATCACGTGTCCTGCCCTCCCGTGAATCTTTGGAATCAAGATGTTCCGGTATGCAAATATCGCCGGCAACCTGTGGAGACATTCGATTTGGCGTGACTGCGATCTCTGCAGGATCTATAGTGTCTCGACATCTGAATCCGGACGCTCGGGATTGTTGGGCACAGATACCCATGTCGGGGTCGATATGTCGATCGCAGGAGACTCGCACGGCTGTAGTCTTGTTTCCAGCTCCAGCGAACTCACGAGACACTACGGTAACGGTGGCGGTGCTTTCCGAACTTTGTATCGTCGTTTTTGATTTCTGACGAGACTTCGTCAAACTCCAACAACCTGTCCAAGACCCTCGGTACCATAATCCATGGTACAGGCGATGAAATACTATCATCGTCACTCGACGACCGTTCATCAATTGGACACAAAGATACGGGTGGTACGTTTAACGATTTCTTGACGGCCGTCACCAGTAACTCTTCGATGAGCTCTTCCAACACTTTAAAATCAGCCGAAGTCAATGACGTCGTCGTTTGTTGTCTGTCACGGAGCTCGCTGATGGCGCATACAATTCGTGGCCTCTGTGAAGGGTCGTCCACAGTGTATGCGCCATCTTCCGTTGAATCCGTTGTGTTTGCATCGTCGTCCTCCATATTATATACAACATCTGTCGATGGACAATTGCAGACTCCATCACACGCCTGTAAGCTTCCAACTTCAGACTGTTCGTCATCCGGGTACATTAGTGGCGCTAAATCGAACGACCATTGATCCGAATCCACCTGTAAGTCGTCGGTCAATGTAGATGCCGATAACATTTTTTTTATTTGTACTGATAAAGAATACAAAACTAAAAGTTTTTTCATTGTTTAAATAAAATCTATACAATTTGTAAATTTGGGAAATAATACTAAATTATTTAATGATTTCATTCATTAATATTATTACAAATTACCATTGGTTATGAATTAATACATTAATATAATTTCTTACCTATGTGCAATGAACTCAGAACAAGGAATTGAATTCTTAGGTAGTTAAATGATTTTAAACACTTTTTAATTTGAATAAAACAGCGAGACAGGCGTTGCTGCTGGGAACAGACCAGGGCAGGATTGGTTAGGCTAGCTACCGAGAAAATCTCGGTGGGCCGCTTATAGTTTGTGCCAGTCGTGTGAATGTGAGTGAAAATAAATTCATGTTTAAAATACGATTGGCCACCTATAAGATCGTAATAATTATATAGACGTAATTTTGGCCACTGAATATGTAAATGGGCCGCTTATAAAAGTGAAAATCTCGATGGGCCAATACATACCGAACCGGCCCTGGTCTTATTGACCACTATTTCCAATAGGTTGGTGATGTCCGAGTATTTCGAAAGTGCTGAAAATCGAGGATAATACTAACGATGCCGTTTTCAAAATGATAATTCCAGCTGGAATTCCTAGGACAAACTCTTCTAAAGTACCCTTTGTAATAATCTTATACAGGGCTGACGAGAGGGGGGAGAGGGAATGGATTCGGTAGTTTTAAGAAGGCCCAGAAATTTGGGACTATCAAATTTTATTAAATTAAAGAAACAATTCAAAACAAGAATTTATTGAATACACTACATAGTGGAAAAAATTAACTCCTAACAGTTACCTAACAAAGTTAATTATGATGGTTGGTTAAAAATAGTGCGGCCCCAAGGCCCAGAGTATTACCCCCGGGTTCTCTCTATGGCTCTTCTCTTATACTACAATAAGCTAAAATTAAGCCCAACACTTAAAGAATCTGAACGGAGCTAGAACGCATTGGTTTTACACTTATACAATGAATACCTATAATATGTCTTTACTTTTTATTTTTAATCAGTCATCATCTTTTTGATCAGTAAATATGCTCCATTCTTCAACTTTAAGGGTGGTGGTTATTGGATCATTTTGGTATTTTGGGAAGTTGGAAGTATTTCCAATACTTTTCAAACATTGGAAAAAACAAATTAAGGAAAATAAGAATATTTACGCAATACAGATTTTCGATAAAATTTATTTTGTTTTTACTTCTTGTTGTAAAAAAAAAAAAAAATGAATAGCTGTATAGGCTACTTGAAATTTTTACGTTTTTACTTTATTACGAGTTTTTCGAAATATTTAAATTACTACTAAGTTATACCATGAACTTATTTACACTGTTCGTTTTACACAGTACGTCGGTATTGACTTATAAGTTAATAACAGCTACTTACCTATGTTATATATTATAAAATTCTAATAAATACCAATATAAATATATAAACTATTTTATCGTTTTACTAGATAACTTTATTTTACAATACAGTTCAAATATTAATTAAACATGTCTTTGCAGTGGGTATCTACTAGGTAGATACTTTATATTAAATATTTATATGTATAATGTACAAATATGTATTCACCTATATTATATGTTGCGGGCAAAGTATAAATTCCGGAGTTGTGTGTACACAATGCCAAAATTTAGTAGCTACAGCCAAAGCAATGTATGGAAACGTATTTGCTGGATGGGAAGTGCACAACATGGCTACATTTCAAAGGGCAAAGTAGAACATGATTACAACCATGGAGCTGATACACTATACTACCATACCATTTATGATTTGCTATTATCTCTATAGGTAATAGGTAGTAATGTAGTATTAACTAGGTATAGGCGCTTCCCTATATTTTTATAAAATTCCATGAAATAGATCAGAATAAGCTAAAAATGCGATTTGCAGTACATACAAAGATGAAAGATGCTAAATATACCTTTACGTTTTATCACATTTTCTTGTTTTCTTTTAAGTTTTATTTCATTATTTTTGTAAGCCCTATGGTTTACTGGGTAAAAATGTTGATATTTTGTTCCTTATCTACTAATTACTATCACCGTAGACTACCCAGTGGTTAAAGTGGGGGGGGGGGGCAGAAGGACTCAGCCCCACTACCTCGGACGGCTGTTAAAAAGCGTCCCCTTTAACAAATTAGGATTTTATACATTAGACATTATACATAAAATTATATATGGAACGCTTAAAACTATATGGAGACATTAGTCCCCTCTGGAATTTTTTCCCACTTTAACCCCTGAGACTACAGTATCTATTATAGTATACAATCGTACATACTACATAATATAACAGTGCAATACAATTAGGTAGCATGTCTATCACACAATAACACTCATTGAGATATTTGGATTTTATATGATTTTTCAATCCATTTTTAAACATATAATTATATCCCCATCGGGTATTCTGATTTTGAAGTCGACTTATTATTTTTAATATTACAATTATGATCCATATACATAGTATACCTACTTTTTTTACCCTCGAAATTATAAGCTATTTTCATTATTCTTATGGACACGTAGTCTGATTAGTGATTCGTTATACTCAGTCAATCGGTCGTTTTTTATGCATAATTTATACCCAGGTACCTACTTATATATTTTATTCCAATTATTAAGCTCATTTTTAACGATATTTAACATGCAGATATTCTGAGGTTTTTGAGTGATATCAAATTATATTCTTGATTATTATTAATAACCTAATTAAGTACTTACAAGGCTATTTTTCTTTAGAGAGCGTCTCTATTCGAATAATACACATTGCTCAAAATTATCATGCGTTGTGGAAATGCCAAGGTTTTCTTAATTTCTTGTTTAACATATAGGTAGTTACAATATTAGGTATGTCAGGTATGACTGGAGTACACTGAAATTTCCAATAATATATAATAATACATTAATAATGTATGTGTTAAGTTATACAACAATGTGTATCTAATTTGTTTGTGCCGAGCAGTGGAGTAGCCAGGAATTTTGTATGGGAGGGGGGGGGGGGTAAGTATATACAAATACAATATGTCTTTTATTCACACTTTTTAGTTTTTTTATTAAACTTGATAAAATTCTAAGGTCAACACGGTCAATGGGGAGCGGGGTTTAGGCTATAGCCCCCTTAGCTACACTGGTGCCGAGTATAGTTTTATAGGTGTTTAGACAGTTTAATTTGAAATTATGGGATCAATATAATATATCTTTGACCTTTTTAATAGTTTTTACACTTAACTAAGAAACAATTTTACATACGCGTCACTTAAGATGTCGTTAGACGAAGGTATTTTTTATCGTCTTGAGATTTTGTTATTATGCCACTCCGGTTACTGTGAACAATTACTAACTTCTCCGGGAAAATATAAAATTAAACTTTAAAGCTACTATTATAATAAGAGTTGATTAATTTCCATCAGTTTATGCATTAAGCGTTAGACGACGACCTATTCGAAGTTATATTTTCCGAGGACACGTTTCTAGACTAAATAAAATCAACCAACGATTTATTTATCTTCACCTTTCGTTAGAAAATACGATGAGTGCGTTTTTACTGTTTCTATACTCTGTTCAAGTTAAGAAACGTAGTCGGTGACCAGTTTTCGTCAAATCACATTCAGGCACATCCGTTTGTCAACCCCACCAAGTCAATTATCTGTATATCTGCAGTGTAGTATTGATACATCCCTGCTTACGAGTACGTTTCTTAACTTGAACAGAGTATAGAAATGGACTACTGAGTACCTACCTACTGGAGTATCACTTGGTGATTCAATAATTGAAGGGTGTACCTATAAATAAGTGATTGTAAGTTGTAACTTATTCGAAATTGATATTCATAGCATAATATGTTTAGTATAATAAATATTTATACCTATTTAAAATATCTTACTTTGTTATCTATACCTACCTTATACTAGTATTATTTTAATTTGAACATGTATAATAAGATAAGATTAAAACTGTACCTACTACCTAGTACCTATAATCTACATACATAATTACCTATTTAAATTAAGCACATTCTTTTGAATTACAATATATATTGCATATATTTAAAATATAATGCACAATATGTATATAACATTTTTTTTAAATTAATATTTAATAACTTGTGTTACAAGAACAAATGAAATTCACAATAAAATATTTTAGTGGCGATTAAATATAAATAATTATTTTTAAATATTAATATTACAATTTTATTAATTTGAATGCAAATTTTGACTCTGTCAGTATATATATGTCAGTATTTGAATATTCGATTACAAGTATTCTAGGAGTACTTATATAGTTTTGTAAAACTTTCTGGATGAAATTGGAAATATAACAGTACAGAATACTTATTTGTTTTTACTTGGTTTTAAATGTTATTTGAAAATGCGTGATATAAAAAGGGTGAGGGTTATTCAAATTCTTGATTACCAGCTACAGTCTACTCAAGAATACTGTAGCGGCTAGGCGTACACTAGGGGATGCAGCGGTGTCGACTGACTCCCTCGAGAAAATGAGGTATATATCCAAACAATTTAAAAACATTAATTATTACCATTAAATCAATGTTATTACCTATATTTAAACTATATTTTTAGTATTTTTATATGTGAGCGAAAAAAAAATTAAACACCTAAAATTAAGAGTTATATAATTATACCTTGAGTATTTAAACTCAGATTTAAGTGGTGGATTGGGTGGGTTAGGTTAGGTTTAAAAATTTTACAGCATAAAATTATTGAGTAGATCTATCGAAAAAATAAAACCGCTAAGGACATACTATATTTGTTGGGTAAAAAAGCGTGATAATTTAATACAAGGCTCCTGATATATTGTTTCAATAAAATTTGAAAAATATTAAAAAAACATATTATGCACACATTATATGCATACAATTATACAAATTAAACCTTCGTTCAAGCCAAGTGTTTTCGTCACTTTTCGCGATGATGTGTTGACAATGCAAAAGACAATTAAT